AGTCTGTGGGGGGTTGCTAAATTTCTACCCTAAATACTTCACCACTCCTTTCAGGTCGTGCTTCATAAAATAGTCAACTGTAGTTTCATCAATCATGAAGTGTAATGAATTCATTTTTACACTTTTTTAAGCATTTTATCGTTCATTTGTATTTCTTTTCAAAAAACTGTCAGAAAGCAGTTTGAATGTATTAAAAAATAATTAAAAGTAGTTTTATGAATTATCAGACATATATAATCAATTCTTATAATTCCTTAAGCATTTTTTACTTTCAAAACAAAACAATAAAAGTTACTTAATATGTTCAAAAACATTTGTTAGTGCTTTTCCTAACCTAAGAAGTATATTTTATTGATTTTCATTGAATAAAAATCGGAAAAATAATGGTGATTTTCGTGTGAAAAAAGTTTAAAAAATTGCATTTTTCACAATAAAACGAGTTTTATGATGCATGCATTCGTTTCATCATGAAAACTGCACTTTTTCTCTTGGGTTTTCATTTTTTTTAGCATTGTATTATAATTCTGATTTTCAAGAAGTTATAAAGAATCTGCTGGTCTCTTTAATAATAAAGATTATTATGTATGGTACTTGAGTTTGTTTGAAGATTTTTTTATAATTATGAAAGGTGTTCATGACATTTTTGGTAAAGAACTAAAAAATTAAAGAGAATTTTCTACATTTAGAGATTTGGTCTATACTTTCAACACCTATAAAACCAATTAAAAACCAGAAAACATAAAGATATTAAGTATCAAATATTAATTTAATGGAAACATTTTACTGCTTGAGTTCTTTACTGGTTAGATCGTTGATTATGAGCGCATTAGTAGTAAATGATATCCCTTATTCTATGTGAAAATAAGTATGAAAAAAAAACACTAATGACTAATTGGAATCATTTTTAATAAACAGGAAAAAATACTTATAAAATGAAAATGTTTAAGTACCTTTTATACTTTTGATTAAAAAAGTACTATTAGGTACTACTGAAACTTTGGAAAAATACTAAAAATTATTGGAAAAAGTTGAATTTATTTTGCTCTTTTAATACTAAAAGTACTTAATAGTATTTTTCTATGATTTTTTTTACATGCAATGAATATCAAGATCTCTTGTTATTTAATACGATATAACAAACTTAGATTTCGTTGAAATCGTAGGTGAATGGTGATTTTAATCTTTCTTCGTGTTTCAAACATTACGATGCGTCAAACTCATTTTATCCAACTTCCTAGCAGCATTGTTAAGATTAAGGTAGAATTGGTTTTTCTTTCGGTAAAATTGTTCATAAGATAATAATAGGCATAAATAAAATATAAATCAATTTTACGAGCTATGAGCCAAGTTAAGAAAGCACATGAAATGATATTTTCCGTTTGAGTGCTAGAAATGGACACACTTTTCAACAATATCAATGATTTTCATTAGACGAGTAGAGAAGTCCTTCTTTAGAGAACTTTGAATCCATGAGTGAGCGTGGATAAAGATATAATCTACACCCACACGCCTTCCCACAGCCACACCTACCCACATTCACACCCCACAAATTGTTGAATGAAATCAGTGTTACTATGATCTATGTGAAAAACTGTTCATCTTTTCACAATACTTGCTGAACACTGGTTTACTTAAGTATGCTTTTCCAAATGGTGGAATTATCTTGTATAAGAAGTGCTTACTAGGACACCTTAATGACTTTAGGAAGTATATTTGACTTCATTTCCTAAATGTACTATTAGTGTTGCTATAGTACGAGGGCTGTTCAGGAATTTGTAGTTTTTTCAGAACTTCTTTTATTCCATGACTAGAAAAACATTTGAATTGCGTATTCTTTAAATGATTTGATTCACTTCGTAAGACGTGACTTAACTTCAGTTGGGTGCAAAACTACAGCCACAAACCTATTACTGAAGCCACTTGAAGCTTCAAAAAAGAAAAGTGATATTAAATGAGACTCGGAAATGTAATTCACACGAAGTGGCATAGAAACGTACTAATAAATAATTCTCAGAAGTCAGTAAACTGCTGCATATATGTACTTTACAGCCAAAAGTACTTATAAAATGTGGGTGTGGGTGTGGGTGTGGGTGTGGGTGTAGGTGTGGGTGTGGGTGTGGGTGTGGGTAAGGGTGTTTCTGATACTCATTCACAGTCAGATCACACCCCCACCCTAGATTTCTGAAGAAGAAAAGAAAGAGAAATGTAGAAAGAAAAAATATCGAAAGGAAAAGAGTAGTGACAAGAGATCACTGTAACAGAATGGTTGAAACAGTTCTCTACTGATTGAGTCGTGCCGTTCAATGTTTTCGTTGTTCAGACGACGATTTACTAATTGAGTATTCGTCATTCGAGATATAATGACTACTCCTTCGGATATAATTCCATTATTTATGTCTCAAAAAAAGCAACAGAACGTTGGATATAGACAATTTTATCTTTAATTTGAATAAGAACACGAATTCAAAAAACTATTTTCGATGCTTAGATCCACATTGTACTGTAATTGTACTTATTGATCTGGGTGATGTTATCTTAAATATTAAAGATGATCATTGTCATTCATCTAAACCAGAAAAAATACTAATTCGAACATTCAAACAAGCTGTACAAGCACGTGGTATAAATGAAAGTACACCTATCCCACAAATCTTTGATGAAGAAGTAGCAAGAATCGATCTATCAACATTATCCATTACTGCTTTACCATCTCAGAGAGAAATTAGTTAGTAAAAACTTGATTTTGTTATACCAAAATAATGTTTTTCAAGGTGATGCATTAAATAAACCACGTCGTCTAGAAACACTTGCAGTTATTCCTGATTGTCAATTATTCGATATTCCGGAATCTTGTACAAAAACTTTGAAAAATCTACCTTCCCTATGTATTGATCCGATAATAGAGAGAAGAATACGATTGTTGGTGTTCGTTTCCAATGAGCAGTTAAAGTTGTTGTTCGATAGCTCTGTTACTTTAATAGATGGTACACTTTTTCATCATCACCTTCGATGTTCGATTAAATCTATTGCATAGATGCAACAAAATATAAACAATATAGATATAAATTTAGCCTCTCAAAAAACTTTTGAATACTTTCTTTGATTGATAACGTTCGTCTGTGCGTTAGCTGTATTATCTGATCAAAAGAACATCCTTTAATTCCATGAATTACACATAAAACTGCTCAATTAAGCAAGTTTTTTAATCCGGCTACTATTGTGTTAGATTTTGAGAGCACTTTAGTGGAGGTCGATAAAAGTGAAGCACGTATTATTTTACTTCAATTTGAATAAACCCTGTTGTATTCTCGTTCTTTTAGTTTTCTAATTGTCATCATTAGGGATATGCTTTCGATTACACACAGACAATCTATCGCAATATTCAACACCTTGGGCTGTCATATGAATAAGCTGATGATGATGAAATTCGAAATACTTGACGGAAACTTATGGTTCTCGCGTTAATGCTTATGTCATTGGTACTACAAATATGTACTAATGTTTATGAATCAATTCTTGAATCATCATTGATAAAATTTAGTTTATTTAAACCTTTATTTGGTTATTTTGAGCGTCAAAGAATCAACAAAGTTGATATTCAAAGATGAAATTTGTATGGAATAAAGATGAGAGCAAACAATAATGCTGACGGCTTATAACCTTAAGAATTACTAATGTAATTATTTATATTTTTTTTTGGTTGTAGGATATGATGATCCACTTAACTTACGTATATTTAAGTATCATCCAAATATTTGAACTTTTATTAGATTTATTGAAGGTGGAGAAAATACATTTAATCATTTATTAATTCAAATGAAAATCGGTATTACAGTTTGACCGAAAACAAAAAGCACAAGCTATTCAATAAAGAATTGATACATATAATATATTCGCTATGATAATGGTGATATCACTCATAATGAACTTTTAGAAGAATAATCCTTTGTTAGTGCTAAAAATATCAAATAAAAAAGAAAATGAACATTCACTATCCTCTGTAAAGCGAAATTCACTATAAATGTTCATTATTATTTCTATTTATTTCTCATTTACCAGATCAAATTTACAACAACTTCATAAACATTGTCTCTTACTAGGAGATTGAACTTTTGATATTTTCTGTCGACATTTTTCCTTTCGATATTTATCTTTTCTGCCTTTTCCCATCAATTCATACAGTACTTGGGTGTAATATTATGACGTTTACAAGTTTTAAGAAAAGCTGTGGCGATTAACTTTAGTTATAAAACCTGATCCCAGTAACAATCATGAGTGTTACTTAGAAACAGGTTGGCTGTCGTAATGAGCGTGTAGAATTTTTACCAATACTGTACTCTACTCATGAAAAACAGTCATAATTAAAATCATACTGAAAGGGATTTTATTCATTTTGAAAAAGGGTGTGGGTGTGGCTGTGGATATGGGTGTAGTTGTAGGTTTCGGTGGGGTGTGGGTTTGGGTGGGGGGTTGGGTGTGGTTCTGGGTGTGTGGATGGGTGTGTGGGGATAGGTGTGTTTTTCTATCATTGGCTCACACCCACACCCACACCAACACCCATCCACAACCCACACCGACATCCACACCCCACACCTAAACCCACACCCACATTTAAACCCACACCCGCACCCGCACCCGCACAGACACTCACGCCCACATCCAACCAAAGTATATAATTCATACCCATTTACTGACACCCACACTACATCCATATCCGTACCGTTCCACATTTAACATTTCGGATCAATTCCATAGCCGATTGTTCAGCGATGAGTGCCGATATTTAGGCATGGATTTTTTCATGCCGTTTTATATTTAAGTATTAGTATATTTTTTCATCATAAAAAAGTATGAAATCAGATATTTTTAATTCGTACAAAAAAAAACTTTTCAGGAAACAACCACTTTTCATATTGTTGTTATACTGACTGTGACGCTAAGTGGCACAAGAAAAAATCATTAAAACAAGTCATAGTAATATCTAGGAAACCTTCGTGCCATACGGTAGTGATGATGGGTTGGCAAAAATAAAGGCAGTGGTGGCCGTTTTGTTGGTAATTTGGCCGGGATTGAAAATCTTCTGTGCGCAGTAAATCTTCTTTCCCAAAATGAATTATTATTATCATCATTTATATTCCTATTATAAATACCACTGTGGAATATCATATCATCATAATGGGGTCTCAGCATATAACTAGATCCATATCCTAGTAATCTTTCATAACTATAAGGCATCCACATATTATACGCAGTGTTTTCAAAACTATAGATGCTAGGTCTTAGACCGTAAGGATAGCCATACAGTCTTGGTGTTGCTCTAAACCTTAAACTCATATCTGACTTTGCTCTTCGAGCAGTCGATCCATGTACATATTCTAGCCTATTATTTGATATTTTATTCGATTTCTTCATAGGTTTTGCAGGAATAATTGAACGAGATCGATGAGTCGATACTGGTTGATTTCTAATCAGATGCTTTGACCGCCATAAGTCTCCTTCATAAACGATCCATTTGCTTAAACATGCTATAAAATTCCGTGCATGAATCTGTGAAGTCCATTTTGTCGGCAAATTCTCATAACCGTAATAAGCACCTGCCAATTGACCATAGATAGCAGCAGTTGTATCAGTATCATCTCCAAGATTGACTGCATCAAGAACGCCCTTTTCAAAAGAATTTCCATCATAACAAAAAGCCCATAGTGCAGCTTCAAGAGCACTAACAATATCTCCTGAACCTCGAATGCCATCATGATATCCACCAATCTTTTTGTAAGATCCTTGTGCGACTTTCATAACCTCTGAAGTAAGTGATTTGTTATTGAACCATGATTTATGATTGAAATAAAATTCGTCATCTAGTAATTCTTCCTTCATTTCGCCTTGAAGAGCAGCAACAATCAGAGCGCCATAATACCGGCAAGAGTCGTAGGCTTTTGTATCACCGTGAGTAATGACACCACTAGTTCCAGAAAATTCCACGGCAACACTCGGATGTCGATAGAAGAAGAGAGGAACAGGAGCTAAGCGCATGAGTGCTCCATTACCAGCTGCGCCACGTTCACTGCAACGCACGTCAAATGCTTTGAGAAGATGTGGATCTAACAGAAAATCGATATTATTCGAACTAATTTTATGCTTTTTAGCAAACGCTTGTTGACGACGCTCGAATTCAAGTAACGATTTTCTAGTGAAACTATCAATATCGAAGCATTGCCCAGTAGAAGACATGTAACCATGTCTGAACCACCATTTGTACCGAACCAGCTGGTCATAAGGAACAAAATCACGTCGAGCTACTAGTGAATTGGCCAAACAAAGGCACATGGAGGTGTCGTCTGTGAACTAAGAAAACGAACGTTCTGGAAAATATCACAATTAGCAATATTTAATGTGTATTTAAGACAGAGTTTTTAAACAAAAAATAACATAGATCTAAGTATATTATTCTTTATTTACAGTTTCTTCTTCATTTTCTAAGTGCCCCGGAAGGGGGCCTAGTAGTCATCCTATATTTCTATATTTCTTGAAAAATGCAGTATTTTTGATAAAAACCGTACATTCTCGAAAATAGCGATTTTTAATGCGGCTTTAATATTCTCAATATGTTACATAAAAAAATACATAGATATTAGCGGTGTATACAGCGCGTCGAAGTTATAGTATCGATATTTGTAGTTTTGTCGACGTTGTCTTACAAGATTTAATTAAAAATCATTTAAAAAAGAATAAATATAATTGTCTGAGAGAATATTGTTAAAGCTGACTTTTTATCTCAATATAATCTTTAGTTACAAGTTTTATTGGATATTTTTAAAAAATCGGTCGAATATCGACACTACAAAAAAGGCATTGAATGAACAAAATAAATTGACAAATAAAAGTCTAGTGATTATTGCTTTTTAGAGAAAAGTTACAAAGTAGTGACTAATATAGGGGTAAAGAGCTCTTGATATGATCGTTCCATGGCGAAGAAAGGAATTTTATTCCAAGTACAAATAGTTTAAAATGAGTCCACATTGTTTCCGATAAACATAACAGCAAGTTTAGTGTTCCTCATCAGACCTAATTTCTGCTGCAGTTCCAATATCATTACCAGATCAGCTTATCTCACAAAACTCGTAGATGCTATGCTGTGATAGTGTTTCTCTTAGACATACCGTTTTCTAATTAAATTTACTGGATAAATTTATGCACGGCTTAAATTCAATTAAAAATTAGATATTACAAAGATTAATGCATCAACTCGCACTTATGTTCTTAGTTAAGTCAACATATACTCAGCAAAAAAATTTGTTTCATGTTTGAGTCATTAACTTTTGTGTCTAATTATAGTTTAGCGATATTTGTCTGTTTTCATATACTACCAAGGATCGATTTAGAAGAGGATAGTTAGTAGTGATCCATGACATTGAAAAATCATTTCGATTTTTTTCTCACTGGAAAATTCTTCCAAAATGAACTGGTACTACTTCTAATGAATTTCAACACATTTTTATGATCAGTCACTCCACTTCTCTAATATCTATTACATCGACCCGTATTGTAAAAATCTAAGTTCACTTATGTTTTGTACGGTACTTGACCTAAAACAAACAGGAAATAGATAAGATGTTAGCAAAACCTCTTTAATTTCAAGAGATTTGTTAAATTCTCAAAGTATTCAATGAAAAGTGTAGTTAGATATATATGGTTGAGATGACAAGTTAGCTTTACTAATTTTCTCTCACATAACTACATTCAGTTTTTGATCAATGATGCTTAATACAATTATGGAAAACAATTTTAGCATAAATTATGTAACGAATTTGTAACTTTGCCATGATATATGTAAACTATTCGTATATTTTTTTTTTCAAAATCATTAAGTTATTATGCGATTGTATTCTTTGTTGATTACATGTCCTTGTATAAGATTTTCAGTCTTCTTTTACAGAATATATGTAGAATAGAATCATGATGAGAAGTTGAATTGCATATTACACACACATATGATTAGTAAAGAACAGTTTGAATTTTTATAAGTGACAAAAAAACTATAACTTATTCATTAGCTACTTCGAATTAAACCAGATATTTTATTGTTATTTTTCTATTTGCACATATCTGATTGTATAAGTTTGAGGTTATAAGATATTTTAGTTTACATTAAACCAAGCTATTAAGTTTTTTGTGATATTCATGCAGTTAAGGTTTGTTAATAATTATATGAATATGTGTATGTGAAAAGATTGAAAATAAATCGAAGAGAATCTTTTTTCGTATCTCTCCAGAGAAGTTTTTTTCGTTTTCCAAAATTTGAACGTGTGTTATTTGAACACTATACTACTTCCTATGCAAGAAAAGAGCTACAGTTTGCAGTGTTGTTGATTCATTTATTCACTTTCTATGAGGTTTACAGAAATAGGATTTATCTCTTAGCTTCAATTAGTTTTCTGCATATTTCCTAGATAGGAATAGGAAATCCTATATAAATAATGACATTTATATAATTCAATATTCAACAAATGTATCGATAGCAATGATAATTGGTCCATGGTACAAAACGAAATTCGGAAATTTGCTTATCAATAAGACTAGTTTTCCTGTGCGCGTAATGTTTCTTTAAAATGGGAGAATTTTTCTTTATGTAGGAGCTAATCAAGAAAATATCATGGTATGTGTCGCAGAAATGAAGACTTAGTGTCGAATTTTAAATCAACATATAATATCTATACAATAATATACTCAGACAGGTAGAAGATTCAGTTTAAGCTAAAAGTAAGAGGCATCAAAATGAGTCTGATTGCCAATCTTTCTTTCAACGTATTCGGGAAATTTGCTTTGAAAATCATTAGGATTTAGTAAAGAACAAATCACGAGTCTTCTGTAAAAAGAAAAAAATTTTACTTGTCCTTTTTTGAGACCCCAGGTTCGGCCTTCTTGAAGATCTTGTACAGGATGTTGAACCAAATATTGATGTGGCCAAAATTCGACTTGAGCTCCAATGACATCACCCAAGGTCAGGCCAAACATCGATCCATTGACACGATTTAATATGGCGGGATCGACACTTTTAGGTGGATCCCGTAGCATCGTCTCCAAATCTTCAGGAGTCATGATTGATTGTTTATTGGTACTATGAAACTGATAATCAAGCCATGGCTTGTTGGAAACAAAATATCCATTTCTTTTTTCAATTACTTGACTTTTCGAGTTAGTAGAGAGTTTTTTTTTGCGTGTATTATTGTATATGTTTCTATGCATAGTAGACAGACCCAACCGAAATCTGCGAAATCCAACGGTTGGCTCAATTGACAGCAATTCAGGAGTCTCTAAATCGAAACATGATTATATTAGTAAAATATAGATAAAATAATTCTACTTTCAAGCATTAATAGACTAAAAATAGTTGATAAATGCACATCAGAGTGACCAGATGAATAATTTAAACATCAGAAAATAATCAAAATCTTTTTCTTGCAAATTAAGAAAAAGTAATTATATTCATCATAATAAGTATCATTTGAGATATTTCAAAACACAGTACCCACTGGTTCAAATGTTCTCGTTTCGATGACAAAATATCGCTCACTGAAATATTTAAGATTTTAATATGCTAATGCCGGAAACTCCATTGACTTTCTGTTCATCGACTTGTGAACTATTTTGAAAAGCATTCCATTGTAAAAAAAAAAGGAACGTCACTGCATATTTTCTATAATTGATACGAAAGAAAAAGAGCCGAACAACAGTCATGCAACTTTGATCTTTTTTATTCATATCCGAATTCATTCACAAAAATACCACAAAAGCAAATCAAGTATATACTATGCAGATATGAAAGAGTCAACAATTAAGATTATCTAATTGGTATTATTAATCGTATTTTTCATTGTTTCGAATATGATTTTTCAAGGATGAGTATAGATGAAGAGAAGAAACTTAATCACATCTACAATCTCACAAAATTGCAATATAAAAAGATTCGGAATTCATCAAATTCAAAAGCACATATATAAGAAAATGAGGAAGGATATATTCAAATTTCAGAAACTTTTACTCTCGAGAGACCCGACCAGCCTATCACGTATGTATATGTATTCTTCTCGGAAAATCCGAATTCCTCTATATCAGGCTTGATATTAGTTTTTTTATTGTCTTTTGATGCTCAAGCTATAGCCAATGTTTCAGTTGAACTTTTGAAATATCCGTCTAATTGATTGAAAAAAAAACATGTTTGTATGACTTGGTCTTTGAAAAATGATATACTGTTATCTAACTTACATAGTTTCTTTCAGTGCACGCATAGAGTGATGACTTTAATTGACGAAATGAAATAAACACAACTTTCACTATTTGCCAAGAACTAAATATTCCTGCAATGTAAAACTACATCAACCTATATATTCGATTTGGGAAAATTTACTTTTACTCAATGTCACTTATTCTCACTGGACCAGCCAGGAAACATTTAGAGAATAATATGCTTTTGACATCAGATTTCCGAAGCCAAATGCATTGCATCATTTATCTTTCTTTTTACAATTTGCAAATATTAATTCGCTTAACTCATGAGAGGTATCATCAAGAAAAGATTAATCAATCGCAAAACACTCTTACTATATGATTGCACAAATGTTTTATAACGATCACGTCGCAGCGTAGTCGACATTAAGTCACAAGGTTCAATATTTGTTTCATCTGTCACCAATTTAAAATCTAAAGGTCGAGCCAATTGCAAATGGGGAGACCCTTCTTCTTGCAAATGAACTATTTTTAGTATATTGTTTAACTTTCCTTTGCTAATGACTCGTAAACGTGTATCAGGCAATAGAAGAACTTCGTTTTCCCAAGGACGATTAGAAAAGTTGCGAATGACTTTACCATTAATGCATTCAATTTTAAATACAGTACATTCATCATATTTATTGAGATTCCGTTCAAATTCTGGCATAGTTCCTGTACATGAGCTAAAGCCTGACCAGATGCAGTTATTTTGATACTTATCAGTAATATCACCTATAGCATAGCGCCAAACTGTACCCTTCATTGATGGTAATTTGTTCAAAGCAGTGATCAGAAGTTGAAGATATAAAAACCAAGGGGTAATCATGTGTCTTAATCGAACGCGAAGTGCTGTATTCAAATAACTAGAAAAATCTCGACCACTTTTCCAATGCCTCATCGTATAAAGATAGATAGCAGCTGCTTCATCAATCGTAAGATTATGTATCGAATCAAGCACTTTTCGCTTAGCTATTTTGACCATATCGTCATAGTTCTGTTGTGACATACTAAGTCTTTGGATGGTTCCTTCAAGCGTCATTAATGGTTGATTTCTATAATCTAACAAAGGTGATGATTTTCGTAGAAGCTCTTCATCAACATCACAAAAGCGTTCGCCTAAAGCCATATCTTGAAGGGTTTTACTTTTTTTATTCTGTCTACAATAATGTTCACTATGTTATTTTTTTGTAGAGAATGTTGCCCAAAGAATAAAATAAACAGAATACAGAAATGAAGTTTGCAACAAGTTCTAAAGAAAAAATATGTTAATGAAGGTCGTAATTCGCACTGTTGCGTAATGGTATTCAATCTCAATGAAAAATAAATGTTGAATGTTTTCTTACTAGTTTAAAATCACTTTCGTAGAGTCACATTCGTTATTTTCATACTTGCAAACTTAAGTACAGCATGTAAGCATCGTCAGTGAATGTCGAACCTACAAAGCAAACACAATAAATCTCAGACGTTGCTCTCTACCTTCGTCGTTTTTTTCACTTACGCAAAAATGATTTCTTCAAACAAACTGCAAGAGTAAGTTGCAATATCTATAATGGAACAATAAGAAAGAAACGAGAAAGAAGCCAGAAAGAAATACAAAATGTAATAAAAAAAAAACGTTAAGAGAAGAGAAAATCGTTCATGCTAGTCCGTATGTTGACGAATATTAAATTTTACTAGTAGAGCTCTCTTTCGATACTACTTGATACATGGCATCATCTACTTGAATATATAGAGAACGATAGCTACATAACGAAAACTCACAATTTCATTTCATTTCTTTATGATTGAAAACAATAAACGATGGTTAAAAGAAGATGGATGTGCGTGTAGGTATTCATTTTATCTCTATTCACGTATGAGCTCTTCTTTAGTTAACATAAAATACTTGAAGCAAAAAAGTTTCTGTCGAATATTATTATTCAAAAACTAATTAGTTGTCAGAATAGTGAATCATCCTGTTTACTTCTGTAATTTCAAAATTCACTTTCACTTTTACACTTGCTCTGCCTTTGTTTGCATTGTTGCTATACGTTCTTTTCTTTTCATTCATCCATTTTGTATTTCATGGTACTTACACATATTTTCGAATCAAATTGTGAGTGTAAGTTTTAAGGTAAAGTTTTGGTCTCTCTCCACTCTCCATTACCTACAGGCAACCATTATAGACACCCGCCACCCTTCCCCATAAAACGAGTTTGATTACTTTACAATATTTTAGCATAAGCAGCTTCAAGGATATATGTGAGTTTCACAATTAAGCTCCATAGGAGTTGCTCTAATAAACTTTTTAAACTTAAAATTAAACTTTTATAAATAAGAAAGTCAATGTACGTAAGAATAATTTTTCAAGGTTCTTAGAAAAATCCTTTTAGAACCCGTCGGGTCCAAAGTTTTGGGGTATGGGCTAGAGTCATGAAAAAAAAACTTTTCAGTTCCTGTTTCCCGTTCCCAAAAATAAATTTCAATCCCATTCTCGAGACACTTTGGTAAGTCTTATTAATACTTCATTTTATTCATACCAAAAAAACCTCACGTTATCGGAAATTGTCTTCTCGCGACATCACATTTCTCACCCTGTGAAATATCCAATAAATGGCGAAGGTTGCACACCATGAATGATAAATTTTGAATTGGTCATTCATCTGAGAAACAAATCAACTGCCATTACCGAATAAAAAATGATCGATTTCGTTTATTTTATTTTGATTAATTCGTTCACTGTATTCTAAATTGGTTACAACAACCTTTCCTCTGCTGAAATTTGGTGATTTCTTATATATATTTCTGGAAAAAATAGCCGAACACCATATTTTCCATATTTCTTCACTATAAATTAATATTTTAAGAAAAATAATTATATATTCGGATAGCTCGTGGAGTTCTCTACAAGTCAATATATAAACAGTTTGAATCGCACTTGCTCGCTAAAAATGAATTTCCATCGACGTTAAGAACGGCTGGTTGAGCAATCCTGAAACAGGATTCCTCAAGACGACGTCATACGTGGATATAAAAATAATATATCAAATATTTGTAATCAAAATAGTAACTAATAATGGTTGGAAAAGCACAGGATGATAATGACTTTGATGCACTTGCAGATTATATACATATTTGCGTAATAACTTGTTTCTATATAAAAAAAAAATTTGAAAAAAACAAATAAAAATAAGCAAAAAAAGAATTTCTGGAGAATCTGACGATGAGAATGCTTTTATTGTGTTCGAATTCATTTTTAGTGAACAAGTGTGATCTCAAACTATTTATATCTTGACTTGTAGAGAATTCAACAATTTATCTGAATATATGTTTATTTTTCTTAAAGTATTAATGTATAGTGATGAAACATGGAACAAATGGTTTTCCATGGGATATAATCATCTACATCTCATCGTTGATCTCTTGAATCCCGCTAAAGTTGTTGGAAGTGTCTCACAGTTATTCAATTGTTGGTTCTTAATTTTGTGGATACTGAGTAAGATAGTCTAACAAATTCATTTAATAGCAGCTTCTTTCTCTAAAGCATGTATCTTATACACTCCCGACTGGAATGCTTAACGGATTTATGATACGTTGATTTTGTGAATGAATACAATATCTAATGTTGGCAATTTACTTTGTTTTGCTCTCAAGAGAATAATTTCGTCAAAAATATTAACTACAGTTAACATTTCAACTTTCCATATTATATATTTTCGTCTTATAGTTTACTATGTGTTCAGTCACTGGTTCCAGTAAAAGATTCTGAAATTTTTCCGTTTGGAATCCCCGATCCCTTTCTTTTGCCCTTCTAACTTTTTGTAGCAAAATTTTATCTTTAGCTTTGCTACCATGCCTTTTTTCTTCAGACACAACTGGATTGTTAAGGTTGCCACATCATAGTTTCTCTGTTTCTCATGCTCGACAAGGAGACTTATCAATATAAAACTGTTTAGCCTTATGCAAGTTGATTGTCCTTTTGCTAAGGGTTTGGACACACTTGATTGAATGCCCATACGATGTTTATTACTATAACACTTGCTTATCGTTCATCTAAATAACATTTGTAGCTCTTTCCGTACAATTCATGTTTATCACGACCCCCTAAATTATCAACAAGCTATAGGCTAATTCGCATCAAAGCACCGATTAATAATTAATTGCAACCTCGCAAATTAGATTATCAGTCTTCCTCTTCTAGTCTTTTCCAACCTATCAGCAACCCTTCCAATCGTTCACCTGCGTTTAAGTCATTCAATATTCTCTGCCGAATACTACATACTCAATAATAGCAGTCAATATACTTCTGCATAAATCCTTGACGAAGTTGATGAAATTTATATACGCTTCAATATACGCCTTCATGAACCCTTCAAGGATTTCATATAGATCATGTACCCATTACTATACGATACCATAAACCCTTTTAACCATTCATGGTGTCCATAAACACTTGTACATATTGTTCGTAAGCGGTGAATAAGGGTATTGTAATTTCATCAACCCTTTTTCAATCGGTTTTTGAAGATTATCTGTGAAAGTTTATAATGTTTATCAACCTTTCTGAGAGGTTTATAAAAGTGCAACCTATAGCAAACCCGTTAAGGGTTTACGAGAAGCATAAACCCCTGAAAAAAGTTGTGAAAGTCAACATTTTCATCTCATAAACATCATAATAGTCCCTGTTTTGAAGGTTTATAACTCTTTAGTAAATTCTTAGAAAAGGTTCTTTATACGTTGCACTTTTATAAGCTCTTTTTTGTTTTTTTATTCTACAGATTTTGTTTTTACACTATTCTTCCATTCAAAAATCGTCACAGTCAGAAAAGTTCCTTTTAGCTTCAGCATGTGAGACTGTACCATCAAACATCCATTAATACCAGTTCAACAGAACTTCTTGAGATTTAAGCAAACTATCTTATGAAAGGCATGTGAGACTTTTATATAGAGAGTAAAATTCGATGTTTTTTTTATATTCATATTTTCGTAGAGTTTATTGAACTCTATCAAACTATATAAAAATATCTATTAAAAACAAATATGAGATAATTTGAGACTTCACTTCAATGACTCAAACAGTGAAGATATGTTTTTCTTATGTTCAAAACAGGTAAAGGAAAAATTTTCACACAAGATTAGTAAAATAATCATGAAATTGTGATAAGTTTATGCATTTCGAACTTTCCTTTAAATGATAGCTTTAATCTTCCTCTGAGCAATGACATAATTTGATTAATAATTTCATATAAGTTTGTTATAGATATCATTGATTTAATGACATGAATGGAAACATTCGGATCGTCATTTATTATGGTAAACGAATTGTGAAATATACAATATACTGCTCAGGAACAATTGCAAAGTCTTGCTTAATCCATTTGTTACACTCGCTTCTAGCGCAGTCAATTTATATCGAAAGCATTCTGACACATTTTACTATCAAGTAAATAGTTAAAACATATTATTTATAAATAGCGTCTTCATTGTTTGAACTACTTTATTACTGTTGCCAATTATCTCTGAAAATCGTCATCGATTGGACACAATGATTTGTTTTTTGCCGAAATATTTTATCTGATGAATAATGGATAGCAAAATTCGAAGAACACATTTCTAAAATCACTAATAGAAGTTTGTTAGCTGGTGTAGTTGCGGGATGCTGATCTTGGTGAACATGGGTCTGAGTAGGTCCGTGCTACTGATATGGATACGAATGTAGCTTTTCCTTTCATCCACACTCACACATCTTTGACACAAAACATATAAGGAACATAAGTTTTCTGATGTCAAGTTGATCTGGAAATAGCTCATATTCAATTGTTACAACAGGATTATTTCAGTATACAATCAATAGCTAATCGTTGACATTCGAAGGCTTTATGTTTATTAAATTGGTTAGCATGTGAGTATGGAATGAATGAAAGCCCGATTAACACGCTATATTTATGCCATGATAATCCATTCAAGGATTACAGGAGAAGTCTCTTTTTTCTAAAACTTTGATCTACTTCAAAATAGGCAAAAAAATGCTCAAATTTCAAAGCAATTGAATAATGATATTCGAATCGTATTCCATGCATGCATCATCTTAATTGAATCCTCATTATTAGCAGAGACATCGCCATTGGTAAGAAAAATGACACCAATATTACCCTGTTCATTAATAACCATTGAATGTGTTGCAGCTGGCATCCCTCCGGTATGACCAATAAATCGACGACCATCACGCTGCTCTTCCCAAATCAACCCGAGACCAAAACTCAGCACTCGATCCGGCAGCTCAGTACTATTAGTAGAGTTTGTACTTTGATATGGAATAACACCGTCGACTATTCGTCGCATCTCGGCAATCGAATGAGAATGTAATAATGGATATCCATTTCTCATGAGCATTCGAAGAAATAAAGACAGAGATTTTGCTGACATCCGCAACAGACCTGCTGGATAAATACTTACACTATAAAATGGAATATCAACCCAATTAGATAGATTACTCTGAAAAGAATCTAATAGGTTTTTGAGACTTATTGTTGTATAGTTTACCTGTTTGATGTTCAGTTGTGGTAGTTCTCGATCCCATTGTTCGAGAAACGAAGCTTTGAATACATGATGCTTTACTAATTCGTCGTGATTATCTATGTCAGACAGGCGATATCCAGCTTTTTTCGTATCAATATTCAATGGTTTCAGTATGTTCTCTCGAACATAGTGTTCAAACGGCATTTGTGATACTCGTTCGACCACTAATCCAGCCAGACCATTACCAACATCCGAGTAGAATGACACCGTACCTGGTGGGAGTGGCAACCAATTTGATGAGTTATCAAGATATGTGTAGCAGGCATCGGCCAATGATATTTTTGTCAATGCAGTATCACCGATTTGCATGAAAGTGTCATATGCTTCTTTATTAGTACCGATCGATGCTGAATGAGATAGTAGTTGGCGAAGAGTGATCGGATGAGAAGGATATTGTGGATGAAAGATACGATGATTTAATGATGATAATGATGATGATAATAGATATGGATTGATATCAGCATCGAGATCGAGTTTGTTTGCTTCAACTAGTTGCATCACAGCAACAGCAACGAACGGTTTTGATATGGAAGCAAGAACAAAGATTGACGTGTCCACATCCATCATGCGCACCGGTGAAAGAGATCGATGACCAAATGCTTCTTGATACAGAATATCGGTGTGATTCACGACCATGATAGCTGCTCCGGGAACGTGAGCATCGAGAAGAGACTGTTCAGTAGATGATCGTGATAAACACTCTTTAGCAGAAGTTGATAGCAGTAGAGTGAAAATAGTTGATAACAATAAGACCAACATGTTTCGTTTTGTATCTTTGTAAATGGATTACTGATTTTATGAATAGAGAACGTTGCTATAGGTAAATGTTAGGTTATATAAGATTATATTCTTATAAGTTTATAAAAAAAATTCATATCCACCAATCACGATAATTTAAACCAAGTTTCTAATAAGATGATTGTACGAATTGAACATTGATCGATTTTTTGAAGCTGTTCTATAATCTATTAAATGAGATATTTATGTAGAAAATAACTGGAAAGAGATCTATGTATGTCGTGAAATATATCTTTGCTTTGCATAGAATTGACAATGTACAAAATGGAACATGTTAACTCTATGCATAAGTATGTTTAATTTAATTTTATAACGAATTGCTTTTGACGATTGAACAGGAAGACTAGAAATAAAATGATTGACTATTTTTTGGAAGCTTTACTACTTAATCATTGATTTTAAAGATTATGTACGATATTGGAATTGATTGTTTATCAAAGAATAATTTGCATCCATACAATCAAACATATATCAATCAGATTAAAGAATTTAGAATTCAAGTATAAATTCAATCGTTTTATTGATTATTTTTTAAATAGTACAACAAAAAGTTGAATTGATTTCCATAATGTTATCAGCCAATGAAAGTCGAAATTAAAGTGAATTCTTTTCATTTGATACAAAATAGTTAAATTTCAATTTTTTAGACTCTGTATTCACAATGATTAATCATTTAATCATAAACAAACACTTCCAGTATTCTATGTCAAAATTCAATCCAAGGCACAATCTGTCAATGGGAAAGATGATAAATAGAAAAACAAGACAAAGAACGATCAACATACGCCACAAAACACACAGGGAATATCATGATCGAGGAACCGAAAAGTATAGATAGGAGACGATTGTTCATCTCGTATATCTTTCTCTTGCATCAATGGATATTTTTCATCAGATTGCATAGATATGTGTAGAATTAAATTTTTGCATGATGATGCAATAGATAATAATTAATCCTTTGTAACATTTCCAACTCACTGTATCAAAGAGAGAGAGAGAGAGAGCATTCGTATAGTGATGGAAATTCAGTTTAATTACAAAACATAAATATTGAAATTGGATTAAGCAAAGTAAATGCTTTTTAGTACATCTAATGTCATTTTGCGTTTGAATAATAAAAGGATTATTTGTTTCTACGTAGTTTATTGTGAACTGTTTATAACAATTTTTTTCTGAAATTCATCCTTCAATAAAATATTTGGTTTGATACTACTTTGAGAATGTTTATTATTCTATATATTTTTTCAATAGATCGAAACAATCAAATCAAACTTCTGTCTGATGAAACGAGACTGCAATTTGATTTCATAATATTTGACGTAGACTGAGATAATATTCATTTTAATACATTGCCTACTTACGTGGAAATTATGCCTGTCATATTGTTATCGATAGTTACAGTTTTTTCTTTCCATACATTTCTAGTAGGATAATGTATGATTTGCAAGCAATTTTGCAGAATATTACATTCATAGTGGAAGTAGATAGCTATGATAGCAATTTAGATACTACTAAACAAATAAAAACTGCAACTTAATCAAAATCAAAAATGGTTATTCGTTCAGTATAGAGCTGAAGAAATAAATTTTAGAGGTCTGAATTCATCATCAAAGTAAGAGATTCTACGTCTGGGACTCAGCACAGAACAAAATAGTTTACTGCGGCAATTTTTTTTAAAAATCCCTTGATATTGTTTATGAAATCTAAATATGAACCTTTCAGAATATCGGTCATGTGTCTAATTCTACTAGCTAGTAATAATTTTATGTTGATACAGT